GCCCAGGACCAGGTTGTGTTTCCTTCTGCTGTACACAGGGTCACTCTGAGTTGGAACTAACTTGATGGCATCTAACAGCAGCAGGCTTTGTGTCAATGAGTCAGTTCTGATTCACAGATATCCCAAGTAGAGCAAATCAAAACACTGTCCAGTCCTGCACTATCCTTATTGTTTGAGCTCACTACTGCAGCCCCTGTGTCATCCAATTCGTTGAGAGTCTTCCTCTTTTGTGTTGATTTTACCAAGCATGATGCCCTTTTCAAGGGACTGGCCTGTTCTGATGCCATGTCTTAAGTACAAGAGAGAAAGTCCTGCCATGCTCAATTTTACGGAGCATCCTGGCGATACTTCAGGGCAAATTAGCTCATTCTTCTGGCAGTCCATGGTATATTCAATAATCTTTACCAATCCCTTACTTCAAAAGTATCAATTCTTCCTTTTTCATTGTCCAGTTTTTGTATGCATTAAGATGTTTTAAATCTCTCATGTTCTCTAGTTCCATTAGTATGGACTCCAAAAAAAAAAAGGTGATTTTCTTAAAATCACAATGTCTAGGGCAAGTACCAAAAATCTGAACCAAACAAGAGTAGAGGCGAATTACACTTTATGCCACTTCACTTATGAACTTAATTTCTCTCATGGATCTTACTTGTTGCTAATGTCAACTTACAGGAAAACTGAGACTGTAGTACAATAAAAATTGGAAGTATTATTTTAAAAAATAATTTTTTTTCCAGATGGGTTTAGAATATTAAAAGACTATTTTGTTGGGAAATTATAATTTTCACTTCTTTAATCAAAGGAACTTTATTCTCATCATGATGACTCTATTAAATCCAATATTAAATTTATCCTTTCTGCCGGGATTTGATTCCACATTGGGTGACAGAAACAGTTAAGTGGTATATCTATATTCCTTTTACTTATCATCCCTAACAGATATTAAGTTTTACCTTATAATCACCCCAGATAATGCAATTATTTAAAATGACTGTATCACTCTGAAGTACTTTAAAGAGAAATATTTTTGAATCACTACCATGTAGAATCAAAATATTTTAAATCATTAAAACATGATATAGAACACATATACTTTTTACTCTTAGGTGAATTTAAACAGTAATGTAGGAATATTTTCACTTAACATTAAATAATACGCACCAGCCTTAAAGTAAGTCCTTAATCATACTGTTCTATTTTCTGCCACACTTTGCTTGATTTGTGAAAATTTGTTAGTTATCGCTCAATAATTAAAAAGGAAAATAAAACAGCATCTAAGAGGAATTTTTCAGAGAATAAAGGACAGATATGAAGTTTAATTTCTTATGCTTAAAATAAATGCGCCAGTCTAGGATGATCATGCCTGGCTTAAAATCAGTTAGAGAGTGCCTCAGGGCTGTATCCTTTCATCATATTTCCCCTTTCACCAAACCCATCAATCCGAAGACTGAAGCCTTCAATGTAGATTGCAACTCAATGTAAAGTAAAGCGAAATCCTCACAACTGGTTCAACAGGTAACATATCATGATAAACAGAGAAAAGAGTGAAATTGTCAAGGATTTCATCTTGCTTGGATCTCCCAACATTCATGGAAACAGCAGTCAAAAAAAATCAAGCAACACATTGCATTGGGCATATTGCAAAAGCCTTCTTTAAAGTCTTCAAGAGGAAGAATTTTACTTTGAGGGCAATGGGTCCCCTGACCCAAGCTATGGTATTTGCAATCACCTTGTATGCATGTGAAAGTTGAACAGTAAATAAGGAAGATGGAAGAAGACTTGATGCATTTGAATTATGGTGTTGCTCAAGAATATCAGGGGCTGACAGAAGAAAAGACATATCCATCTTGGAAGAAGTAGAGCCAAAATGCTCCTTTGTAAGGAAGATGGTGAGACTTCATCTCTCCCCGACTTTGCACATGTTATCAGAGTCCATGGAAAGGGCAGCCTGCTTGGTAAAGTAGAAGGGCAGTGAAAAAGGGATCCCCAACAAGCTAAAATGATAAAGTGCTTGCAATGATGGGCTCAACAACAGTTGTAATAACTGTGAAGACACCAAAGGACCAGGCACTGTTTTCATTCTGTTGTCCATGGGTCACTAAGAGTCAGAACCAACTTGACTGCATGTAACCTGATAATCATTTGCATATAAACATGAGATCACTAATTTTAGGCATCTGCTTCTTTTCTTCAGGAATGATAGTAGATTGGCACTCACCAACTCACCTTTAGACATTCTATTTGTGACCCAAAAAAACCATTTTCAGATGATTAAATTGTTAATGTACTGTAGAGCTACATCATAAAGAAAAACATTTAATTCCAACAAAGTCAAAATTATGATCTGATACCATGTGGCTACATACTGAAACAACTCAAATTTGGTGAACAAATGTGGCTAACCACTTTGGTGTACTAAGGTCTGGGAGAGAGAAAACTTAAATCCTCAAGTTTTGGTTTCAGTGTTGTCAGGTTCTTCCTTTTCTGCCTGTTCCTTTAAATGCCAGTGGCCATCAAAGCTCTTTTTCAATCTTTTTAGTGTTAAGAGTCCCTATCCTTCAATACTTCCATACTCTGATATTCCTTCCCCATATCCTTTACTCCAGCTCTGACCTTTCTACTAAGTCCCAGGACTATACTTAGAATTACTGGTAACTGTAGGTCATGCCTATGCCTACAGAGTCCAGACTAAATTTAATACAACCTGACCACTGTCAAAGGAGCCCTGGTGTCACAGTGGTTAAGTTCTCTTGGCTGCTAGCCAAAAGTCAGTAGTTGAACCCACCAGCTGTTCTGTGTTAGAAAAACATGGCAATCTGCTTTGGTAATAATTATAGCCTACTTGGGGCAGGGGAAGGGGCCAGTTCTACATTGTCCTGTAAGGTTGCTATGAGTTAGAATAAACTCCACAGCAATGGGTTTGACCCATGGATGGTTAATTTTTAAAATCACCCCCGTATACAGTACATGCTTTCAATTATCTTACCTGTTTTTGCATCATTCACTGAACTTACTTGACTGAAACACCCTGATTAAATCTTTGTCTACTACACTCCTTTCCCATACAATTGAACATGGCTTGAGAAAATATGCAATGAGGTTGACAACCTTACTTTAAATGCCTGATCATTTACTTCCAAAAGGGAGCCCTAGTGGAGTAGTGGGTACAAGTTGGTCTGCTAACCATAAGGTCACCAGTTTGAAACTACAAGCCACTCCAAGGGAGAAAGAGGAAGCTACCTACTCCTTTTAAGAGTTAAGACCCTGGAATCCTCAAGGGCAGTTAACTCTACCCTGCCCCATAAGGTCACCTTGAGTCAGAATTGACTCAATGGCACTATTTGGTTTCTGGTTACCTCCAAACGTACTTTTAATGCTACTACTCAGAAACCAAACAGCATTCCCATAGTTAATTCCCCATTTTATTCACTGACATGAATATTTATTACCATCTTCTCACAAACTTTCAACAATTCCTTCCTCACAATTATTCTCAGCTGATGTCATCACTGAAAACACTGGAAACAAAAAACCATAGCAATCAGAATATAATTTTCACCAGTTCCCACCACATACTTACCTCAAAAACATAAACAAACAAACAAAAACAACCTAATTGCCATCAAGTTAATGCTAACTCATGATGATGCTACAAGTCAAGATAAAACTACCCCTGGGGACTATCTCTCTCTCTCTCTTTTTAAAATCATTTTGTTGGGGGCTCATACAACTCTTATCACAATCTATACATCCATCCATTGTGTCAAGCACATTTGTACATTTGTTGCCATTATTTTCAAAACATTTTCTTTCTACTTGAGCCCTTGGTATCAGTGGAAGAACAAAACCTCATCTTTCTCCCGCTGAGTGGATGGTGGTTTTGAACTACTGACCTTGCAATTAACAGCCCAACATTTAACCACTACATCATCAGGGCTCCAGAGTCACTTATACCCATAATTTCCTGGCAATTAATAAACTGTCTGTTCCTAATCTCCTTGTGCTACATTCCAACGCTTCTTGACATGAACAAGTATATATATACTGTTCCAGCGATTTACTGTTTGAGTACAGTTTGAGTACGTTAACTTATTTGTACTACCCAGACTTGATAGATGCACACATGTCCTTATGTCTTACTTGGTTGCTTTTATTTTTCTCCATAATACACCATACCGAAAACCAAACCCATAGCCATCAAGTCACTGCTATAACAATGTAGAACTGCTCCACTTTCCAAGGTTACAAAATTTAATGAAAACAGACAGTCTCATCTTTCTCCTGCAGATTAGGTGGTGGGTTTGAACCATTGATCTTGCAATTTGCAGTCCAATGCTTTATTTAACCCAATGTACCACCAACGATCCTTATTGCGTACTATACCTTTTACTTAATTGCTTATTGCCTCTCTTTCCATACTAGAAGCTCCAAAGACAAGCAATTTATTCTGTTTTGTTAACTGCTATCACTCAATGTACCGAAAGCAGCTTGATACATAGTAGGCACTCAATGAATATTTACAGACTGGAAAAAAATGTGAAAGAAAAATGTTGGGTCTTTGCATTCCTTTTAATTATGCATTTTTAATTCAATAGGTTAGTAGCAGTGCCATGATTCAAAGAATATTGTACATACTGTGGACTGCCAAAAGAAATATATCTTTCTTGCAAAAAGTATAGTCAGAATGCTCTTTAGAAGAGAGGATGGTGAGACTTCATCTTATGTACCTGGGATATAAGGGGTCAACCGATCCCTGGAGAAGGACATTGTACTCAGTTGAGAGAGAAATAGAGGATGAACTCCAATAAGATAAACTGATACCATAGCTCCCAACAATGAACTCAAACACAGCAAAGATTGTCTCAGGACAGACCATTACAAATTAAAATTAACTCAATAGCACCTAACAATAGCCACATTGTTATTGCCAAGGAATAAAGGGAATTATAATAGAGGCCTTTTAAGGTTCCTACAACCCTTAGCATTCTTTGACTTCGTGATATATTGAGGACTTAATTTTTTCTTTTGTTTCGCTATGAAACAAAATTATTATATTCTGATATTATTTTCTAAATTATCCTGGCCACCTTATCCTTTTTCCCTATTTGTTAGTTCCCAGGTAAACTTAAGTATGTTCAGCAAGATTTCTGTGTGAAGTACATAAAAAAACTCACTGCCATAAAGTCAGTGCTGATGCCCCATGTGGGTGTCCAAGGCTGCAACTGTTTACGGGAGTAAAAAGCCCAGTGTTTCTTCCTGAAGTACATAAGCAACTCTTGGTAATTTTTAAAAGCCCAAATCAAACGTCCACAACCATATATTTGACCATTTTGATCTTTACCTTCTAAGTAAAGGGATTTTTTTTGTTTGTTTCAAGTAAAGATTTTAAAATTAAATACCTCAAGGTTCAGGGAAAAAAATCCCTACACTTATTTTTAACAGATGCTATCATTCTTCTGCATAGCACCTAAATCATTGCCATGACTACATTCCTGGTTGTGTTCCTTGTAGCCAATTTCTGAAAATATCTGCTATGAAACAATGCACTTAATAAATCACACTATATAATGCAAAGAGCAGGTTATGAGGATGTCGTCTCATAGCTCACAGTGAGAACTAAGGCTTCCAAAAGATTCAATGTTCCTTTTTCAAATATTAGCATCCTGGCCAATATAATTTGGCAGAGTACACCAGTTTCTGTTACTACTAAATGAAGATACATATCAGCATGCCGAACATATTTCAGTCCAACAAAGCCGCTTTTAGAGTACTTGTGTCCATGTTCTAATCCAAAACTATATAGTGCAGGTAAACATTATTTCTTATAAGAATTTTCTCTCCTCTAAAAAAAGTCCTGCAATACCCAATTTATATAGCACAACTGATGATACTGGTGCAGTCCAACAATTAATAATATGGTTTGGCTATTGGGCCAGAATGTGAACTAACTGTCCTACTACCTAGCTACTTAAGTACCAGATACTTAAGTACCAGAAGCCTGATTGGGGTTGTGAGGATTGAGTAAGACCATACATGGGAATCACTTACCATAATATAGGGCACTTGGTAAATACTCCAAAACATTAGCTATTGTTACTACAGTATCTTACAAAAATGAAACTCCAGAATTACCATCAAACCATCCCTGTCGCTCATGACCCAGGCCTCATGGAGGATTACATCATTCCTCAGGTACATTTTTGCTTTGTTACCTAGGCTATTCAAGTCCTGGTCATTTTTTCCCCTCAAACAGTTTTATTGGCACATAATTCACATACCATACAATTCAATAGTTCAATTACATCAAGAAGGGTTGTACAATCACCACCACAATCTGTTTTAGAACATTTTCTTCATTCTTGTACTTGTAATTCGCTCCCCATTTCCTTCCAACCTCCCCTAAATCCTGTTCATTTTAAATCTAGATTATTGTAATTTCATCCTTACAAAACGACTTTCCTAGACTCCATATGTTCATCAATTCAGTCATTTCTAAGCCATCTGAAGAATCTATGAATCATGTACATAATCCAACCTTCTGCTTCAAAATTACTAATAATAAATAGTTCTCAAGTGCCCACTATTTGGCACTAGGCGAAGTATTGAGAATACAATTATAAACAAAACTAAACATATTAGTCTTGGATTTTGAATATTTCTTTCATGTCCACTGTTTCAAATCATGAGTAAGGCTTTTGTTTGTTTTCTAGAACTACTTGCATCAAAGCTGATAAGCCAGTATCAACATTATAGTAAAGTTTACCAGTGAACGTGATTTTTATACTCAACACTAGGTGAAATTTTCCCCTTAACAGCTCTGAGATCTTGATATGGATTATTTCACCTTGCTAATAAAAATGAGCACAATATGTCAGCTCAAATGGTTATTTTGTGAACTTAGAATAGCTTTTCCCACCAAATAACAGCAATTTATTACTATTATCCTTTTCCAAACAACTTCATAGTCACTACACTCTCCCCAACCTCCAACTTTGTGCAACTCCTAAGTCCTCTCTCTCACATCTTTAAACTTTTCCATAATAAGATAGCTCAAAACACTAAACCCCACTCTACCTAAACTGAAGATCTCTTTCTAAAATGTTTACTTCAGTTCAACCTCATTATACACTACTGTTCAGGCACACACACACACACACACACCGGATTTATCTACCATACTAAAATAATCTTTTCAAACTCTGTGTTAGCTATGGCTTATTAAAAATTATAATTCCTAGAAAACACATGTTACAAAATGCATTGAACCTACATGGGATCAACATACATATTTAATCAGGCCCAACTCAAGAACAAAGCAAAACAAAAGGTGTTCACCACAGATACCAACTAAAATTGAGTTTTAAGAAACTATATATATTTTTTATTAGCTAGGAACTTATTTTGTTATTGCTAGATAGTAAATTGTTTAAACTATACACTTCTGGACCTATTTACACAATGAAAATTGACAAATACTGCTCTGACCCAAGTTGTAGCATTAACTTATACACATACATAAAACTTCACTTACTCAAACTCTGTAGCATAATATTTAAGAAAGCCCAGTAAGAGGTCCCCAAGATTTGATTCATTCTTTGAGAGGTAAGGAGGAACATTACATGGAGCTTGATGTACAAGGTGCAGCTGTATAGCAGGGCTAAAAGTTTCCTGTCAAAAAGGAAAAGGCAAAAATGTAAATCCATTTAAAACCAACACTGAAGAACAGTATAAATCCTGTCTGACAACTCTCTAAAGAAAGAAGACATTTCCTTTTGGTGGCTATTTGGAAATTTGAAGATTTTCTTCCACTAAAGATTTCATTAGTATTTGGGGGATATGCCAAATTGTTGCCGTTAGCTGCTAATGAGTCACCTTCAACGCATGGCAACTATCGTAAAAAGCCCGTCCGATGGCATCTTCACAATCCCTGGCATGTCTGAGTCCATCGGGAGAGTATTCTATTCTGATCCATAGGTTTTTCACTTGCTACTTTTCAGAAGAAGAGCACTCATGTTTCCTAGTTTGTCTTAGACTAGAGGCTCTGCTGAAACCTATCCATCAAGGGTTACCTTGAAAGTATTTGAAATACTAGTGGTATAGCTTCCATTATCAGAGCAACACCCACACCACCACAGTCTGACAAACTGATATACAAGTGGCAGAGTAGGACAAAACATATTTGAAAAACTGATTTTAAGCAACAGCTTGGATATAGTTCAGTAACTGAAATGATTTTTGATCCCTATGGTAGCAAAATATTTTCTAACTCATAAATAAAACCACATTAGCCATAGACTGATGGAGTAACTGCAACCACGGGCTCAAACATGAAGACTGAAAAAGGCGCAGGATCAGGCAGCATTTTCTTCTGTTGTACATAGGGTCTTTACAAGTTGGAACCAATCTGACAGCACTTAACAGGACACTTATCAAGAGTCTACCCAATAATATTTAAGCGTCTTCATATAGCTATCTCATTGTTAATGATTTCTAATAGTTGTGCTTTATGTAAGATACAATACGCAGGTTAGAGCTCTTCCAAACTGCCACTTAAAATTTCCCTCAACAGACATAAAAGTAGCTTGAACATAGGAATACTGCTAATGTTAATTTGAAAACTTATTTTCTTTAGTTTTATTTGGTTTTTAAATTTTGTAGCTTACAGGGGAAAAATACTCAACATGAAGCAAAATTGCAAAGACACAAAGGGCAAGGAAAATAAAATGGGAAACGTATCAGCAATTAATATTCCAGCAATTTTTTACAATATCCTTAAAGAACCATACCATTTGCCTGAAATCCATGCCCCAATAAAACACATCTTAGGAAGAATACTAATGGGTACTTACTCTATGCCATTCATTAAATATCTAACCTTCCCTCTACTAGAAGCAAGCTCTGAAATATACTAAATAATTCTAAAAGAGTACATATCCATGTTGAAAAATAGTTGTTACACTTATGGTCATTTACATCAAGAACAGTTTTCTAAATTTTCCCCTTTGCCATCAGAGTAAAAAATTGAATAAAAAAGTAATGTAAAGCAATTGGCTATGAGAGGATAATAGAAACGAAAGATAAAGTTCCAAACTACTTAACAAATCAATGTGCAGTATATAGATAGATACCACTTTAATCAGTGATGTTTAAAATCTCCAGAAGAATCAATGCATTTGAACTGTGGTGCTGATAAATAATATTAAAAGTAGGGGGTATGGGGGGGATAAAAAAAAGAGTATTAAAAGTAACCTGAACTGCCAGAGTACTCCTTAGAGGCAAGGGCAGTAAGACTTGGTGTTACATACTTCGGACATGTTGTCAAGAGACACCAGTTCGTGGAAGACTTCATGCTTGGTAAAGGTGCAGCAGAAAAAAGGAAGGGCCTCGAGGAGATGGGCTGACACAGTGGTTGCAATACTGGGCTCAAGCATAGGAACATTGTGAAGACGGCGCTGACGGTGCTTGACAGGGCAGTATTTCACACTGTTGTATACAGGGTCACAACCAACTTGATGGCACCTAACAATGACGAAAAAGAACTCCGAGGAGCCCTGATGGCAGAGCAGGTTACAAGTTGTGCTGCTAATCACAAGTTCAGCAAGCCCAAACGATCAGCCATTCTATACGAAAAAATGAGGCTTTCTACTCCTATAAAAATTTACTGTCTCTGAAACCCAGAGGTATCGTATATACTCGAGTATAAGCCAAGATTTCCAGCACATTTTTAATGCCGTTTTTGTGGTAAAATAGGGTGCCTCGGCTGATATTCAAGTATACACGGTAGTTCCACCATGTTCTACAGGATGGACATTATCAGTCAGAATCAAATGACAGGATTTTAAAAAATATTTTAAATACCTCCAAGGTTGAAAAATAATATCTCAAAATAAGTAGTCATATAGAGTAAAAAGGGTAATTCATCTATATTGTGTTATTTCTCAAAAAACATCAGTGAAAACTGAGCAAGAAAATAAAAATTTATCTCCTCTGACGCTATCAATAATTTGCAATTAGCAAACTGGGCTCTACCTCAAACACACCTTTAACCCAAGGACAATAAAGCCAAAATTACATCAATTGGAAGAAACAGAGACTGAAGAAACAGAGGACAGCTATACCAAGACTACTGATCTGTTGGCAGGTGGACTCAGACTAACACTGACTCATACTTCAATGCTCTACTTGCCACATTAAGATATGTACTATTCTGGCATATCTGTGTCTGACATTGTCAGAGAATATATTCTTGTAAGCTTTGCTTGACCACTAACTCTCATTATTTGTGTAAATTAATTTCCAATCATGTAAGGACTTAATCTGTGCAAGTCAATAACCCATATGTTGTAATTTGTAGTTAGCCACACTTGTTTATACTCTCCCTTTCTTAATTGTGTTTTAAATACATTATCATAAGCTAAATCAGTGACAACATTAATAGAAGGTCCTTACACTCCAGGGAGATGATGGATAAGATTCTCTACCATAAAATACTAAAGTTGTCTCTAAGGTAAACCAAAGGCAAAAAGAAAGTAAAGAATTTAGGAATGTATTTTGAGCTTGCACTTATCCTAGCTACAAACTAAAAACATTTAGTTTTTAAGATTTGGCCCTTCATGATAGGCACTTTCAGGAAGGAAAACACAGAAGATATGGGTGCTAAAGCAAAGTGTGGGGAAGAAAATAGATGGAGCCAGGCTGTCAGAAAGAATTGCATCTGGAGTCTAAACGGTTGATTTTCAATCAAGCAGCCATTTGAGTGAGGTGTAAACTAAGCCCACATGGAAGAAACACACCAACATCTGTGATCCATGATTATAAATGATATAATCTAAATCTCAAGGAGTGAAGGGTATTAGAGCTTAAATTGTAAAATTCTCGTTTGCAGAAGGCTATGTATGGATGACGGTGGAAATCCAAAATACACTCGTGGAATATATACATGGAATAAGCTTTGTGATTCCCCTCTGACCAAAATTCCGGGATGGAAATAACCTGGTTATCAGACAGAAAGTATTATAGAGATGATTATAGTATATTAAAATGATAAACCTGACTTGAATGGTTAAAACCTTGTCATTTGATTTCCCTTTTGACACATTTGGAGCGTGATCTGGTTTTTAATATCTCTGTTACATGTTGTTTTTGTTGGTTGTGTTCTCAACTCTGTCTTGTATCTCTCTGTTTCTCTGCATATGAAACCCACGCTGGGTGAGTCTATAGAGGCAATAACTAGAATTAAGGATGTCCAGGGCTTACAGTGCAGGGGGTGGGAACAAGGCGGTTGCAATGAAGGAAGGTTGATGTCAAGGAATAAAAGAAAATGTTTTGAAAATAATAGTGGTAGCAACTGTACAACACTGCTTGGTATGACTGAATGGTATGATGTCTTGATTATATCCCAATAAAATGGTTTGAAATAATAATTTATAACTAGCAAGAAATGATTGACTCTCTCTCAGAAGGAAAATTCCATTCTAGCCATGATTCATAAACCTGGAACCCTAAATAAGGAAATTCTCATTATTTCTAAGAGACAAAGTACTACATTTTAAGAATCAAGTGGAAATCCTAATTGTATAATCTAACATGAGAAGTGATAGGTGAGAAGCTATAAATTACAATGAGAAAACTCATAAAATGAGAGCAAGAACACTGCCTTTAATCCCATCTTGTTAGCTCTTAAGTATAAAACTGGACTGACAAAAGATTCCAATTCACTGCCATCAGTCAATTCCGACTCAGAGAGACCCTATAGGACAGGGTGGAGCTAGACCTGTGGGCTTCCAAGGCTTAACTCTCGTGGGAGTAAAAAGCCTCCTTTTCTCCCATGGAGCACACAATGGTTTCAAATTGTTGACCCTACTCTGGGTTATATAAAATGTTGTTGTTAGGTGCCGTTGAGTCAGTTCCAACTTATAGCAACCCTATGCACAAGAGAATGACACACTGCCCAGTCCTGTGCCATACTCACAATTGTTCCTAAGCTTGAGCCCATTGTTGCAGCCACTGTGTCCATCCATCTTGTTCAGGGCCTTCCACTTTTTCGCTGCCCCTCTACTTTACCAAGCATGATGTCCTTGTCCAGGGACTGATCTCCTAATAACATGGCCCAAAAAGAAAAATATGTAAGATGAAGTCTCACCATCCTTGCCTCTGGGGCATTCTGGCTGTACTTCTTCCAAGGCAGATTTGCTTAAATTTAAAATGGAACTTATTCATTATTTTCAAGCAAATTAAACAAAAAATTTTACCTAAGTTCAAATGAAAAGGGAAAATAGATTATGTTTCAAAGTTTGTACTCTGAAAGCTTCTTACTACTTTGTATTCCTAGGGCCTAACACAATAAGTTTTGAATTTATAAAATGATGCTGAACTTGGACAATCATTTTTTTACCTTTAGCTTGAAATTGTTTGAAAGTCCTTTAACATTTTGATTTTCTTCAGTAACTTAAGAAAAAAATGGGCAATTATGAGATTAAAACTGATTGGTGCTGAGGTTTTCTAAAACGTTGAATGACACAAAAAGAGAGGAATCAAAGGAGAAAACCAACTACAAACAATAATCCCATTTATCATGGAGAAGTACCTATTTTGGGGTAATTAGGTGCTACAGAAAAATTATGTTTTAAGAAAGAGATCAACAAAGATTTTTTTAAAGGAAGCTCCCCCACTGTATGTATGTGTTTAAAAAAAATCTGGTACTTCAAATAGGATAACGAATGCAGAACTTAAAGCTAGTAAGTTAGGAAGCATATACAGAGCAATCCAAAAAGTGAAAGGGGGGGGGGAGCTAAAAATCATTACCTATTGAAAGTACACATTTACACAATAATGGCATACAGTTACCTCTTGAAACTTGTAATGTATTCTTTCAAAATTAAGGAGAATAGCGCTGTAAAAAGGCAAAAGACAGAGATGCCATCTCGGGGGCCTGGAAAGTGAAGCTGAAGCCTAACACCACTCTGGAGGGCAGGACCATTGCCAGATGGTCTCAAAAAACAGGATTATTTTCTAGCCTGGAAAGCTAACACCAATGGAGTTTTACACTTACTTAGTGTTTGTTATCCATTCTTTCCCTCCAATTTATCTTATGTATAATGGCGACTGCAAAGGCATTCAACTGTTTGAATCATAAACTACTGATAGCCTTGAAAAGAAGGGGAATTCTGTAACACTTAATTGTGCTCATGTGGAACCTGTACAAGTATGAAGAGGAAGTTGTACAAACAGAACATGGAAATACTGCATAAGTTAAAATCAGGACACCTGTGCACCACGATTCTATCCTCTCACCATACTTCCCCAATCTGTATGCTGAGCAAATAATCAGAGAAGCTGTTACATGAAGAATGAGCCATCAGGCTTTGAGGAAGGCTTATTAACAATCTTGTGTATGCAGATGACAAACTTGATTACTGAAAGGAGGAATTGAAACACTTGCTGATGAAAATCAAAGATTGCAGTCTTTAGTATGGATTCCAACTCAATGTAAAAAAGTCTAAAATTCTCACAGGTGGACCAATAGGTAACATCATGATAAATGTAAAAAAAAGGTCGAAGTTGTGATGGATTTTGTCTTGCTTGGATCCACAAACAAAGCTCCTGGAAGCAGCACTCAGGAGATCAAGATGTATTACATTGGGTAAATCTGCTGCACAGACCTCTTCAAAGCGTTGCAAAGCAAGCAGGCTACTTTGGGAACTAAGGTGTGCCTGACTAAAGGTATGGTATTTTCAATTGCCTCACATGCATGTGAATGTTGCATGGTCTTGTCAAACACCTCATATGCATGTGAGAGCTGGATGATGAACAAGAAAGACCAAAGAAGAACTGATGTGTTTGGAATTATGATGCTGGTGAAGAATACTTTAAGTACCATTCATTGTCAAAAGAAGAAACAAATCTGTCTTGAAAGTACAGTGAGAATGCTCCTTGGAGACAAGGATGACAACACTTCTTGTCACCTATTTTTGACATGTTTTCAGGAAACAGCAGTATCTAAGAAAGACAACATACTTAGTAAAGTAGAGGAGACGCAAAAAAGAGGAAGGCCCTCACCAAGATGGACTGACCCAGTGGCCACATTGTGCTGATGGCGAAGGGCAGGGTAATGTTTACTCTGCTATACACAAGGTCGCTTTGAGTCAGAACTGACTGGATGGCACCCAACAATAATATAATGTGAATGTCAGCCTTCTCGCTGTTCCACCATGGCACTTTGGAAAACAGAAAATGTGCTATCTACAGTTAAAAAATACATGTATGAAGAGGAATGTTGCCGTAGGGTGCAACACATCTAAAGTCTCCATATTTTATTTAGAAAGTTCAGAAGACAGACTTTAGACTTGGAGTTGATTTAAGACTTTTGAATAATGTGATGGGGCGAATATGTTTTACATATGGGAATTACATAAATTTGGGGGCCAAAGAGAAGTGGAACAAGGGATATCATTGCTGATGTCAGATGGATCTTGGCTCAAAGCAGAGGATACCAGAAAGATGTTTATTTGTGTTTCATTGACTGTGCAAAGGCATTTGACTGTGTGGACCATAATAAACTGTGGATAACTTTGAGAAGAATGGGAATTCTAGAACACTTCATTGTGCTCATATGGAACTTATAAATGGATCAAGAGGCTGTTGTGTGAACAGACAAGGGGCTCCCCTGCATGGTTTAAAATCAGGAAAGGTGTGTATCAGGGTTGTATCCCCGCACCACATTGGTTCAATCAGTATGCTGAACATATCATCAGAGAAGCTGAATTATATGAAGAAGAGTGTGGCTTAGGATTGGAGGAAGGCTTATCAACAACCTGCAATAAGCAGAGGACACAACCTTGCATGCTGAAAGTGAGGAGAAATTGAAGTACTTGTTGAGGAAGATCAATAATTGTAGTTTTCAGTATTATTATGACTCAATTTAAGGAAAACCCAAATCTTCACAACTGGACCAACAGGTAACATCATGATAAATGGAGAAAAGTTTAAGTTGTCAAGGATTTTATTAGTAAAAAGCTGGGTACCTTATCATTAGAGCAATATTCTTTTTCCTTAAATATAGTATATTAAACTAAGATATCATCAGTATGTTACTAAAAAAGGTTTCATGTAGCATAGCGTTTTAAATTAAGATTTCGATAGGAGCATATATTCAATACATAATACCGGATTATTTTATGGTTAACTATTAGAACTTTGTATGCTGGAAATATAGTCATTCTTTCTACAATGAATCCTGAAACTTAAAAAAAAAAAAAAAAAAAAAGGTTGGGACAATCAAGTGAAATACTAAAATCGGTTACCATCTTCAACCTTTTGGTTTGATTTGAAAGACTCACTACTTCTGGGGTACAGAAAACAAGAATAGGGCAGAAAGTTTTAGTTACTATTATTTCTATACTTTCTAATACATTTGTTTTTATAATGTTTACAAGAATATCAACACTGATCCCTAGCTATACTGAAAATGCACCGTGATAGTTTTTAACATGTAGCAAAAAATAGCTTCAAAAAGGAGGAAGATGATATCCGGATTTCTAAAGGCCCTTTTAATAAACGGTGTGATTGTAATGCATCTCTTCTTACAACAGGTGAAGCAAAGCAAACTAGGAGGCCTTCATGATATCCAGCACAACTAGAGCTACAATAGTAACTGATGTTCAACAGTAAAAAGTCAGTTCTTCAAATGAACATATTATATCTGACTTAGATTTGTTAGGTTTATGCATTATGTATGACTTATAAAAAGTAATTAAGTTCTTTGAAGTCTACCTAAGCAGGATATTACATTTCTCCTTAGTGATATGACAATCTACTATGGGTATAAATCAGCTCTTCTTATATGTATATAAAACTAACAGGTAAAAAATTGTAGTTTTTAGAAGGTTGATCAATACCTTAAATATTTCCAAATAAAACCAAGGACAAAGAAACCACAAAATAAATGGTTGGACTACAAATTAAGAAAACTTGAATTAAAAAAAAAAAAAGAAAGAAAACGGAATTTGCAAAAAAAAATGAGAAAACTGGAAAATAAAATATTTTGAATATGCACCATACCTTCGTTCCTTTAAGCTCAAGCTGAGTGTGCATTAAACTTTTCCTAGTAGGCAAACACTTGCATTTCTCAAATGTTTTCAATTAGGTTCAGAAGGATCCTAATATATACAATAGGGTACTAATATATATATATGGTACATAACTTGGTTAAGATCAAATGAAATATAAAATTATCCAATTTTCTTGCTTTTCAAAATATAAATTAATTGGGCTAGACAAATTTAACTAACTAATGAAATAGCACAAACACTTATTTCAAAATAGTATGAGCAAAACTAGAATATAGTCAAAGGGCCATGAGGAACTGAATATACTTAACCCCCATTAATGATAATCATGAGCACCATGCAAATGAAACCACTATTAACTTACTGAGCAGACTGTATGTCAATAATCAAAGAAACTATCAGTTTGCTGAAAAGAATATATAAAACATTATAAACACTCTAGTTACCAAAGTCACACCAAGACAAAAAACATTATCATATTCTCTAATAAATGACTTATATATTCAAATTAATGCTGTATACACCAGTTCTCTATACACTTGACATAATATAGACTATAATAATTTATAAAAATTACTTACTGGGTAAATTTTTTGGAGTGATGGAAGGATGGGTTCAGGTAGGGCTATAAAAAGAAAGAGTTCAAAGCTTCCATGATTCACAAATTATTTTCAAAGCAATAATATGGCAGTCACACTCTCGGTGTGAAACTGGTAATAGGTTTTATACTAAAATTCATCAGCTTTCATATACTGTATTAGATGAACTCTGATCCCTAATACTTTAAAATTCATCGCAGTGGGCAATTTAAGATTTCAATAGTAACTGGATATTCCCAAGTAAACCAAAGTTCTTTAAGGTGATTTTTGAACAGGACATCAATAAAAGGATATATGCCATTAGTTTTCTAACATCTAACATGCAAAATAAGCAAGACAATGATTGTTCTACAGGTCTTAAAAGAATGTTTTTAAAGTGGTATATAGTAATAATAATGCACTTTAAAGTACAATCCAATGATACTATATTAAAAAATAAGTTTTAGAACATTTAATTTCTGCCAGCAAACAATAATACCAAAATTAATAGTTCCAGGAACTTGCTACCATAAGGGGGAAAAAATAAATTTCAGATATACATATATATACATACATACACACACACACACACACACACACACAAAATATATATTGAGAAACTTCATTTAGGAAATTTGTACCATGCTGCTATAACTTTCCAATCAAGCAATCATTACTGTCATGTCATATCACTGCATTTTTAAAATGTCATTCTTCATCCTTTAGTAGTTCTATGCAACCACATCATTAAATGTATACAGTAATTTTATATCATAATGTAAATACAGTAATATGATAGGCAATATATAGATTATAATAATTTATAAATACTTACTGTTTTGTAATACTTACAAAACAGAAATAACATCAACAATATCTTGAGTATGCAAAGAAAAAGTAGGAGGGAGGGAGCACTAGAACTGATTGTGATTATACAACTAATTTTAAATGGCGATTTAACCACACGGGGCGGGGGTGGGGGGGGATTCTAAACTTTATTGTAATGATTGTACAATTCTTCTTGATGTGACTGAAGATTGAACTATTGAACTGTATGATATGTGGATTGGGTGCCATTAAAAATGTTCTAAAAAATCAAATATGATGAATTATATTTAAAAATTAAGAATGCATTATAGAGTTAGATTAATTAAAGTAAAAAAGAATCTTGAGTCACTTTATTTAGAAAAAAACATTATAATCAATTTTCATGGTCCTCAGCTATGAACAGAAAAAGATAAATTCCTTCCATACAGTACAGAGCAGGATGCTTTATTTCAAATTCTCTCCTGCATCACACTTCATTCCCAAGTGGAACATTGGAGTAAAACGAAATCCCATGATAGTCTGGGTGCTCAATATACAGACATTATAAGACAGAATATTAGGGGAAAGCATTTACTCATTACTTAGCAGAATCATTCTTTATAAGGGGATATTTTTCCCACAAAGGCATTCAAAGAATCAAAATTTTAGAAAACCTTACAAGTCATTTCAAGCCCTTCTCACTCTATTCTAAAAGTCTGTATATTTTCATAACATTCTTGAGTGGTTTTAAAAAAATAATTTTGGTTACAATCAGACATCAAATTTGAAATTCTTACTTGAGATTGGTTAACTTAAATAAAAACGAATTCCTTTCCCATTTTATACTCATGTCAAAACTACAATAAAACAAAAGATAGGAACTGTAGAGCATTCAATCAAACAAACCATTTCATTCTGGTACTATAACTAGAAATATTATGAGAGAAAATTTAATACTAACAACTGCCTTAGAGTATTTTATAGGACCAAAAAAAAAAGTCTTTGAACCTTTAGAAGACAGGGTTTAAGAAAATTGCTTGTCTGTAAACTTATAAGATTTATACACCCTAGTCATGAGAAATCAGCTAGTATATTGTGGCAGTTATTTTTTAACAATATCCTAAACAGTAGACTGAATGGAGTAAGTAATTTATCAATTCTGACTTCAAAACTTTGGGCCACAGATTCAACTTTTTTCAACTTCTCTCTTACTGACCAAAAAAAAACTATTGCTGAATATGATAAACAGGTAATGTATTTTTATTTTTTATTTTGCTAATCTATACAGTTTTACCTTGCCTAAACTCAGTTTTACCTTGCCTAAACTCAAGATAAGAGCCCTGAGGTGCTGTAAAGGTTGAACTGCTAACTGCAAGGTTGGCAGTTCAAATCCAACAGCCATTCTGAGGGAGAGAGGTGAAGGTGCCTGGCCCTCTAAAGATTTACAGTCCTACAAATACTATATTGGAATGGTATGTTGTTGTTAGGTGCCAATGACCCTACATACAACAGAATGAAACACTGTGATGAGCTGGGCTGCCAAGAGTTGGAATCAACATGATCACAGTGGTTGGGTTGAACTGCAGATGGGGCTTCCTAGTCAGGCTCCCATAAATTTATACTGATAAATATACAATATTTATCAAAATTTCAAGTGCTAGAACAGGTGATCTTCAACAAAACAATAAAAAGCTCTATTAATTTTAAGACTGCCTAAGACAGTTCTGTACCTGGTAACATAAACATTTCGTGAATGTTCATTCATAGTATTATTTCTAACTAATTTACAATTTGTCCTTTTTCATTAAGTCTTAAGATTCTCATTAAAATCTCTTCCTAGTGGGTTTTCACCACCCTGGTGTCTTTGGTCATTTTTAAAAAAACATAGTCTATTATAAACTGTTGAATTGATCTTTCTACATAGAGAAGGCTAGTTAATCTCTGTAAACATTTAAAGAATTTAAAATTTGTAGTCACCTAACCCAATTATTGTATTAAAGATGAAAATACCAAGGTCACAGAGGGATAATGACTTGTTAAAAATCATAAAATTAGTTATTTGTGACAAAGCTGGAACTGTTTAATACACCTTGCAGACTTTTATATGCCCCTTTCCTCATATTTTCTCATGTCATTTGCTACAAATGACCATCTATTTCTTCTAAGGACGAGTACCTTGCATTTTTGAAGAGGCGAGTTACACATTAGCTCGGTCCAGTCAAAGATATTATCATTAACTACACATCACTTCAATAAAAGTACTTTTTTCCCAAGAATACAATACTTTTAACAAAACCTAAATTTTAACACGATTTTACAACACTAGAAACATATTAATGTTTCAATTTTCAAAATGCTTATAAAATCTCATGGGGTATCTATGACAGTATAGTTTTATTTGGCAACCAATCAAATTAAAATGCTTATTTTAACAGGAATAGGGAGATTGGGCATATTTATGGACATTAAGTGCTTTAGTCAAATCTAATATTTAAGTCACTATAAAACTAAAAAGTGAAGGCACTAGATAATGCTACATGAATGTTTGCTATATTATTCTTTCTATCTTTTATTTTATAATCTCGATATTTAAAAATAATAATCTCAATATATTCAAGTGAACTATAATCCAGGAGAACAAAGTTCGTTAAGAATTATCATTAATACGTTTCAGACTGTACTATGAAAGTAGATATAAAGAATTAGTGACATATAAAGTAAAATCTAGGAGTCAACCTTTTATGTTATAAATTCTTCTAGAGAAGCAAATCAATCATCAGTCAGCATATATACAACAATATTCAACAATAAATCCTTAAGTGTAACAAAGAGGAAGATTATAAAATCTTTCTTTGGCCCATTTGAACTAAGTCTGTTGATAATTTTATAAATATTGATCTGATTCCATCGGTCAAATAAATATATAATCCCCTTTTAAATGTTATAAAATATCTACAAGTACAGCAAAGTATGTTTTTAAAACTACTGTCCAGAAATAATCCCCGATAAAATTTTGGCAAATATTTTTTCAGTATTTGTACACATATAAATATGTACCCACAAATGCACAGGTACTATTTTTTTTATTAAAATGTGTATCATGTTATATATGTCTTAGTTTATCATATTTTATTATATTAGATAGCTTTAAAACATAACTACTAGTAGACACATAAATTTCCTATTACAATACTATACTTCAGATAGCCATTCTTTCTACTTTTAAAAACTTAAGTATTTCTAATATTTTATGATCCCAACTAATATTGTAATTAATAGCACTGTATATAAAGTCCTATAAATATCTTTATCTAAGGATAAATTCTTTTTTTCCCAACAGTTATATTGGCATATAACTCATATCATATAATTCAATAGTCAATCCCATTAAGAAGGTTTGTGCGAGCATCACAATCAGTTTTAGAACATTTTTTCCCCATTCTTGTACTCATAAGAGATGCAATAATGGAGTCAAAATGTATGGATATATGTATTGCTTTACAGATTAACTGTACAAAATTAATACTCTCACCATAAATATATGACTGTGATTACATAGTTATTTATAAAACTTCGGCAATTTAAGAAACTAATCCTATATCTATAGTATATCATGTAAATGCTTTTACAGCAGGACTTTGAAAAATAGGAATAGATTCTAAAGTTATATTCTCTGGCAAAAATTCAGGTTAAGAGCAAACTGTATGCTTTGATAACCCATGATAGAATATGGTTGGCATTAAGAAAAGTAATAGTTGTCCAAACGCCTGCACCTTATCTCCACACAAAGGGGAGCTGAAGATGTCATAACTGCAGAAAGGATCAAGATTTTGTTCATAATTCAATTTATATCTATTTGAGTTAGGTATATATGAAAAATGGTCCCCAAATTTCCTACCCGAGGTAAGATCCAAACTTTGATAAATTTAGAAGATAGAAATGGTTTTGTGTGGTGGGACTTCCTAAGAAGATAAAAATTATGTTTGAAGATAGTCTGTCCTTTATAGGGATTCTAATCTTCCTATTATTTTGGTAGCCTTGCTTACCAGACAGAAAGCTTTGTAAAGTCAATTGTGGCAGATGTAGCAGATAAACCTTATCACTTCAGCTCCCTCTTGACCCATTTAAAAGTTGCTTCAGTTTTTAGTATTTTCTGTTATCCTTTGGAGTGAGGTTTTTTCCTGTTTGTTTTGTCATTTTGGATTTTTTTTGTTTGCATCTTGACTATGTTTTGTATGATTTTCTGTATATGAAATCTAGGACCTGAATTAATAAATACCTAAGGGCATGGCAGGAAAGGCTGGAGGAAACAGAGAACTAACAACAATGAATATAAGAAGAAAATGTTCTGACACTGATTATGGTACAACTCTTCCTAATATGACTGATTAAATGTATGATATATGCCAATAAAACTATCAAAAAACAGGTTTTTATTTGTTTTGGTTTTGATACTTAACATGGCAAAAACAACAATAAAAGCTAAATTATACTTAGTTCCATTTATGAAATGTTACCATTCAATGAAACCTACAAGTCTAGAATCAGTATCATGTTGATGTTCCTAGATGCCAATCAATCAATTTTGAATCACAGTCACTCATAGTGACAGACCAGAACTGTCCCACAGGATTTTCTACGCTATACTCTTTGAGGCAGATCACCAGGCCTTTCTCACAAGCAGTTACTGGGTGTGTTCAAAGTGCCAGGCTTTCAATTAGCAGTCTAACTTCACTGCATGCCACTAAGACTCCATTATCAATGTCAAACCTGCTGTAGCAATCACACAGGGGAAAGAACTGGCCCCCGCGGGTTTTCCAAGGCTGTCATTTTTACAGATACTAACTCTCTTTCTCCTATGGCATGACTGGTAGGTTAAAACCACTGACCTTTTAGTTAACCACTGCACCACTACGGCTCCTTGTGGATTGTCACAGAGCACAGGTAAAAGAAAATGCAAGAACACTACTAAAACCCTATTTTTACAGAAGAAATACCACCCATGACAATTACTCATTTGTCAAAATATCTGCTTAGAGAAAAGTTACACTTGGCATGTAATATTTGGCTAGACACAAATATTGAAACTCTTGCTAAGAAAATAAAAGCTGGAAAAAATAAAAAATATATTAACAGCGATACACTCTTGGTGGTAGAAATATAATTTGTTTATTTCACCTTTTCATTTTAAGTATATTTCTAGTTTTCTATGATGTATATGTATGACATAAATGAATCAAAATATAAAATAACTATATTTTAATATCACTATTATTTATTGCCTTAAATATAATTCTGAATCAAAAGGGTAAAATTAAAGGTGTAATCCAAGAGTCTTAATTCATTGCCTACTGAATTACAATACTGAGGCTGAAGAATTCAGAAATACAAGTTCTGTTCAATGACTCATTAGTTGCTCATGCCAAGCCAGACTGAAAGGAAAGAGCTCTAGTCACAGCTCCTTCACCACTGAACCATCTTTGAACTATCTTTGAAGCCAGTGATAACGGTCCTCAGCCACTCCCACCCACCTAGAAGTAAAAGTGACTGGCTAAAAGACCCAATTTGGTGATCATCTCATTTCTATTTAAGGACCCATAATCTCCTAAGAATTATATGCAATATAAAACTATATCCCTCGACACTGACCATTTCTGTGTATCTACCAAGAATAGGTTCCCTCTTTTTCCAGTTCCTAATATCCTCAGTAGAGAAATGATGATATTAAGGACACAAAATTTTTCGAACTTTCAATCACCTGATTTTTCTGCTACCTGTGACAAAGTTGCTAATATTACCTCATTTCCTTCAGAATCTAAACACAAAAAAACACTAAACAATGCAATAAAATTATATATTTTAAATGTCTTTGTTTTTTAGATCTCTAGATTATAATAAGTAATGTCACAGAGTACGTAATAAGCTAATAGCATCCCAATTTACATAATCAAGTTAAAGAAAAGGTCACATTAACATCATAACTTCATTAATAACCCATGAGTACTGACTGCTAAGATGTTACATTTTAAATGCAGAAAATGAAAGCTCCATGAAGAAATTTACTGTTTTTCTTTCTTTGTTTTTTAAAATTTTGTTCACTGCCTTATCCCTAGATCCTAGAACTCTGATCGTTTAAAAACCAAACCAGACCCCAATTCCAGTGAATCAATTACAACTCACAGAAACCCTTAAGGCAGAGCTGAACTGCTCCAGAGGGTTTTCAAGGTTATAAATCTTTATGGAAGCATCTTCCTTCTATGGAGTGGCTGCTAGGTTCTCAAAGCAGCCCAATGCTTAGCCCACTATACCACCAGGGATCCCAGAACAATCCCTAGCACTTATTTAGTGGGTGGCCAATAAATATTCATGAAATCAATGAGTTTCATGCTAAAACATAGTTTATCTATTGTCATCTGTGTATGACATTATACATTATATGAAAATTTTTAACTGAACAGATCAGGACCTAGACTTCCTGGCAAATGCTCTTCTATTAACATCAAATCTTTCACCTGATCTACCTGCCACCAGATATTCATGCTTACTAGGGCAATAAGTCATTAAACATCTCAAACCCCTATCGAACAAATACAAAACTATACACAGCCATCTTAAGCAGATCCAGCTGAACAGAATGTGTAAAATGGCTTAATGGCCATTTCTTGGATTTTTATCTAAGATTTAATAAGATTATTAAGTATGTATTAGAAGTAAAGGTTTCAATTGGATCTGGTAAGCTGGCACCATATTTCCAGGAAATTTTTAGCACAAAAAGTTCATCAATTCCAAGTAATAATCATTTACTACTGTTACCCACTGTGCATGAAAAACGATGAGTTTCTAGCAGAATAGTCTAATAAACAACAGATAGAATCTTAGTGGTATAGGGTTCAGTGGTTCGAATCCACCAGCTACTCCACAGGAGAAAGTTGGTTTTTTCTACTCCCATGTGGATTTATAGCCTCAGAAACCCAAAGGAGCAGCTGTACTTTGTCCGGCAAGTCACTATAAATTGGAGTAGATTCAATGGCAGTAAGATTTTTAGTTTTTTTAGTTAAACTGAGTTAAACTTTGGAGGCCAATCTGACACAAAAGCAAAAATCTAATTGACGAGGATAGTTTATCCTTAAATCAAAAGCTAAATTATTCTCATCAAGTAGGAAATTAAAAGCTACCTTTTCCAAAAAGAAAAGCACGTAATTCCAGTCTTAAACGAAATGAAAAGTTAAACACAATGCTTAAAAAATCATACTTGAGCTTATTTTTATAGGTCTTCTACACATTTGTTTGTCTCAATATAATGGATTCATAATACAGTGGTGAAAATTATTTTAATACAAAAGTGAATATTAAGATATAGTTCATGATAAGAGTTGTATGAATCCCCAATAAAATGATTTTAAAAAATAGTTCATGATAATAAAAATGTAAAATTTATTTTTAATACTTTCCAAGAAAAAAGTTTGTTCAAAGCAACAAAATGGGATATATGGGTCTCAGACAGATTTTTAAAATAATGCTATATAAACAGGACCAATAGAGAAGACATTTTAGTAAAACAAGTACATTTCAGTTTAAAAATGGAAAGAAAAAAATCTAACACTTACTTTGTAAATAGTGTAAAACCATCAAAACAAGACTATAGCTGCTTAAAGTACCACGACTGGCATCATTTATGTCATGGTGACTTGCCCACTTCTTAATCACCAATACTAACGGACGAACTCGATTTTCAACTGAAAGAAAAATTTAAATTTACAAGTGGTAAAAAAAATTACAACTACTTTAAAAGTTTACATCATTTCCCAACTTCATGCCAAAAGAATACTCCTCCCTGAGTACTAAATACTATGTTTATCATTAATGTGTTTACGTTTCAAAACATATTTTAGTTACCTTTTTAAAATAACCAATTATCAAAATATATTTCACTAATGACTGCGGTATAAAGTTTTTATGTAGGACATATTATTCAAATAATTTAACTACACACAGTATATATTTATACACAACTAAATAGTTACCACTATTATTGCAAACACTTTTTAAGTAAAATAATGCATGAAGGAAAAACAAAGTAGTTATAATTAATTAGAAATAAACCAAAAACTTACGGTATGCGTAAGCTCTGAGAAGGAATGTGTTTCTTATTCCAACAATATTGTTTACATTCAAGTCAAACTCCACGCAACTATTGAAAAATAATTAACAAAATTTTAGCTAATGTACAAATTAAGTAATACCCTAGTGATTAAATTCACATCCATCGATGTAAAACAGCATGAGGCCAAAACAAAAAGAGCCATTTTTAAAATCAAGCAATAGAGAATGAACACAAGCGACCACTTTTATTGCTCTGCTTTATTACACTTCACAGGTATTGTGTTTTCCCAAATTGCAGATCTGTAGCAAATGCGCATAGTCCACGTCTACCAACAGCCTGTGCCCACTTCCGATCTCTCATATTTTGGTAATTCACACAATATTTCAAATTTATTTTTAACACTATTGTACATTTAACAGACTAAAGTGTAAACTTATATGCACTGAGAAACAAAAAAGATTTGTGTGACTTGTGATATTCATTTTATTGGGAGTGAATCCACAGTATCTCCAAGGTATACTTGTGCATATATCATTGTAATATGCTTTGGTATGTATTAATAATAGGATTGATGTTGAAAGACTTATAATGCAATGCCAATACTCTAATTGCCTTAGGCAAAGGAAACATGTTTAATATTGTGATCCTTCCCAGATAAAATTGTGAGGCCAAAAACAGTTCTGAGCAAGTTATCCCACAAAGATATAAATTTCGTTACTGATATCTGGGAAGAGTTATAAGGGTCAAACAAATACCATAATCTTTGAAAGCAAAAACATCAGCTAATTCACAACTTAAGGAAAAAGGATATTTTGAATATTCTATCTTCCATTAAAATGAAAAGCAACTTAAACATCACTGTATTTGTATCAAACTCTTTAATATTAATTTTATCAAATTTCATTAAGTAAAATGTTATTGAGAATGCATTACAGGTTCCATAAAGAGGTGCTAATTACATTTCATTAAATGTCCTATATCCAGGGATATATCATAGTACATAGAGCCTTCAAAAAGTTCATGGAAAAAGGGAATCGAAAGTAAAGGAATTTTCCCACAAACTTTTTTAGAAACCGTATATATTTTTAAAAAAAACACTGCCATCATGTTAATCTCAGCTTATAGAGACTCTTTACAGTTTTCAACAGTATAAACTTTCATAAGAGCAGACAGCTTCATCTTTCTCTGGTAGAGCGCTGGGGGGGGTGCCAGCCTCCAGTTTAGCAGCTCAATGCCTAGCTCTTAGCACCACCAGGACTCCCTTATAAATATATACTCTCTATATATATTATATATCTTACCTTATATGAAGGAAAATCAAAAATTAAGTTGAACCTTGATTAGGTTCCACAGTATTTACCAAAAGGCATTTTTAATACCTTTATACCCCTAGGAAAAAGAACAGAGCAGCAAACCAGTCTGTCAAGTAAATTGCAACTTAGAGTCAGATTGGATCGACTACTCTAGTTCATGGATTAATACATAAATTTCACCCACAAAGTGTACAATAAACTCATATCTAAGACATATTTTAAAGCAGTAAAATATGGTCTATTATGTTAAACGTTATAGAAACTTGTATTTCATTTACGCTATAAGTATTCTAAGAAGTCATGGTGGAACTGTAAGCTAAGTATTGGACAGATAATCACAGGTCAACATTTCAAACCCACCAGCCATTGCAAAGAAGAAAGATGAGGCTTTCAGCTCCCAGAGAAATTTACAACTTCAGAAACCCCATTCAGGCTCTCTATTAGTCGGAATTGTCTCAATAGCAGTGGTTTGGTTTTCTGGGTTTGGTGAGTATCTTAAATAATTCACTACTGGCATGATTACATACAAAAATCTCTGGAAAGTAGTCTATTAAATGTATTTCCTTGTCGTGTTACAAATTATAGGTGTATCTGTTAACAGTGCCCACAGACTTTATAGATGTAAAGGAGCTTTAGAAAAAGAAAACAAAAATTCTGAGTTACGCATTCTGCTCCCATTTTTTTACATACAGAGTAGTTTCACTAGTAAACCAAAATAACTCACTGCCTGCCATTGAGTCAATACTGACTCACAGAGACCCTCTGTGGGTTTCCAAGAACTATTTATGGGAGTAGACAGTACAGTCTTCCCCCATGAAGCAGCTGGTGGTTACAAACTGCCGACCATGAGGATAGCAGCCGAATGCATAACCACTACACCACCAGAACTCCTGGTATATAGTCTTAAATTATTAAATTTCTTTATGAAAATATGCATTTATGAAATGAGCATAATTTTTACGTCAGCCATTTAGTTTTCCAGGTTTCTACTTTAGCGCAAAGAAATCTTACCTATAAATTTAATTTGTTACATTTAATCATAATACCTATTGCTGTCTACTCTATTCCAGCTCATCAAGACCCCATGGAACAGTATTTCTCAAAGTAGGTACCCCAATGGAATGACCCAGAGGGGGCTATAACAGCAGTTAACTATGTTTTAACCTAGAAAGTACTAAAGTTTTTAATTGCCAGGGGGCACTGAGTAATTTTCCCCGCACTGAAAAAGGGGCAGTTGACAAATAAGTCTGGGAACCTATGCTATAGGACATGGTACAACTACCACACAGGGTTTCCAAACTGTAATGTTTACAAAAGTATACTGTCTGCCACATCTTTCTCCATGGAATAGCTGGTCACGACAGCTGTACTAGAGTTCCTTTAGTTATAAAAAAAATAATATTCACTGCCATTGAGCAGACACTGACTCTCTGCAATCCTATGTAATATAGTAGACCTGCTCCATACAGTTTCTAAGGCTGTAATCTTTATGGGAACAGACTCCCAAACCTTCCTCCCAAGGATCCACTGAAAGCATTGAACCACTGAGCTCTGAACTAACAGCCAAATGTTTAACCATTGCACCACAAGGGTTTCTTCTTAGTTACAACAGATTTCTTTTTAAAACCATTTTATTGGGAGCTCGTACATCCGTTATCACAATCCATATATCCATCCAGTGTCAAACACATTTGTACATTTGTTGCCATCATCATTCTCAAAACATTTGCTTTCTACTTGACCCCTTGGTATCAGCTCATTGTTTCCCCTTCCTCCCCACCCCCGGATTTTATTTTAAAGATTCCACTAAGTGCAATAAAATTTATAGATAGAAGTTCCAGTTTATTTGTACTCAGGATAATTAATTCAACTTTTAGCTAACACTGAAACTCTCCAAGCTGAATTAAGTGAAAAATTATATACACAGAATTGTCATAGACACACATAAGTCCTAACTATAATTTGAACTTCCAGACTATATGGGACCAGAGACTACCAAATAACCCCATTCTCTAAGCCAGAAGTTTAACTAACTTATCCAAATTCCCTTTCTCATCAGACACTATTAAACCGATCACACACATGTAAAGACGGGAGTGTAAAGTAAAGACAGAGTCTTCACTGGAGCTGAATAAAGTTGGACGATTATATGGGTAGGCAATTATATGGGTAGACAGGTAACTTAGCTGCTCGTCACCCATTCTTAGCACCACCCTGGTTTACCTTTAAACCATAATTTGCAAAGAACAGAAGTAATGCTACCTTTCCAAAAAAATAAAAAGGACTTATTTTGGATGTGTAATACATCCTTCTCTCAGAATTTTGGGGGTTTTTTTTTTCACTTTTAGTAAAGGAATAAATGCCAAAAGATTTGAGATCACTTACAATCTAAATGATAAATATGTATATATGCTTTAAATTGGATAATGCTTCCAATACTCAAAATGTCAAGTTTACAGCAGACCTGTTTATCATTTCAGTCCACCGAAGTGATTTCTTAAAAACTGACAATTACACTATTGCACACATTTCTCAATTATGTACATCATAGGAAAAACTGAAAGTGATCTAAACCAAAGGGAAAAAAGAGAGTTCAATAATTACTTACTGAATTTTATCCCTGAACTTAACAATTGGCACTTTTGCTCGAATCAGCTGAGGTCGGTCAACATAGCCAGCTAAAAGATAAAAAATATAATGTAAATGTTTCTCAAATCCATAGTGTTGCAATGCATATTTTAAAAATAACCGCATTTTAACAAGTTAAAGTGTAGTCTTTAAGAAAGAAAACAGAGCAATCAAGATGTTACTGAATTTTTCTGTGACTGAAGAGTCCTGTCTTTAGGAGGCTTTATATTTAGGTTATTTTCAGAAATGTGGTCTAATAACTTTATGTATAAGCTAGCAAGAGAAGTATACTCAAATTTTGGTACAATACATTAACTATTATGTAACTATAAAAATAATATTTACATTAAGAATTAGATCAAGTCCAGAAAGTAGATTCTAAAAAATCAAGTTATTCTATATTATTTAAGACAAACACAAGTATCGTAAGTTTTAAGTAATATTTACAAAGAGCCTTAATTGTGGAAATGCCTACAACACATTACATGGTAAAGAAGATACATGTAAAGAGGAAGGCACAAATAAGTAGGATCACTAAGATGAAAAACACAAATATGCATTTTTTTTATTCCATCAATAGTTTGGAAAATTTTTCTGAATTTAAAGAAATTCGTGCTCATTCCAGAAAACATGGAAATTTTTTTTTTTTTTAGAAAACATGGAAATTTATGTATATAGAAGAAACTATAAACTTTCTCAAATGAGCAATTTCTTCATTTTAAACTAGAGGAAAACAAATTTAAAGTTAAAATGTTTTAAATACATATTTTCTGTTATCATGCTTTCATCAACAAAATCATCAAATAAATCAGGCCTCAAAATAAAAATCATGTGTACAATTTTAGTGAGTTCTAATGAAAAGCAAAAAAGGAATCAGGGATTCCAAGTATAGATTCTAACACTAACACATTAAACTTCCTGTATAAGTTACTTAACCTATTAATGACACAATCACCTTAATTCCTTAAAAATAGTAATAAAAAAAGTAGAAATGGATCTTTTAAGGTTTTCCACTTAAGTTATGAATTATTCCTTTATTTGACAGATAAGAAACCTAAAGTCCACTATACTATAATCACTTGATCTATTTCCCACCCATAATAGGTTTAGACTGGTTAAGGAAAGTAACTTTTATTTCCCAGCTCAAAGTGAGGCATGTAATAATTCTTACTAATAATACATGGGGAAATTTTCTTTCTAACATCACACAGATAGTGATTTCAACTATCTATGATAATTTGTTGAAGTATAAAAACTACCTATACACTTGAGTATAAGCTGACCCGAATATCAGCTGAGGCACCTAATTTTACCACAAAAACTGCATTAAAAATGTGCTGGAAAACTCGGCTTTAAATGATGACGGCAAAGAATGTAAAAATGTGCTTGACACAATGGATGGCTGTATGGATTGTGATTAAGAGTTGTATGAGCCCCAATAAAATGATTTTAAAAACAAAGACAAAGCAAAATTCAGCTTATACACAACTATATACAGTATTTGAGATGGCTCAACATATGGATTAAAATCTGTTTAGAACCAGCTTATTCAGTGAATTAAATCTGACAATAAAGTGGCCTGCTCAACCATTCTGCACTCTACTAGAATAATATATTTGGCCTTCATATTCAGTGATAATATTTTTAAAACATGAAAATACGCATTTCATTTTCCTTCACTAACTACATACGTATAGAATCTGCACTGGATCACTCTTTTGGCTTTTCCCAAATATTTTACATTACAATTATTTATATTCATGCCTTAGTTTACTCCTAATAATCTATACCATAGGTTCCTAAATATATTTGGCCTACTGCTTTTCATCTAAAAAAAAAAATTACTCAGCACCTTCCTGGCAATTAAAATTAACCAGATAATGTGTAGAAATCTGCTTTTGCACCCCCCTCAATCATTCTCGTGCCCCCAAAAGGAACTACATTGGGAAATACATATCTACACCAGTTTGAGAAAAAGAACTGAGGCTTAAATATCTTTAACACCTCAGCCCACACTACATTAAGTGGGATATCTTGCAAGTACACACAATAAAGACTTGTTAAGTAGTTACTCATCCATTCAATGAAAAATTTAAAGGAATCCATTTAGAGAAAATGGATCAATATTAAACCTACCCTAATCAGAAAGTAAACAATTCTTACCAGAAAAATAAGTAAAGTGAGAGACATTTTAAATAGTTATGTCAAATGACATATGAGCTGAGGCATGTCAGACTTACAAAGTCTAGTACAGAAGTGTTTATGGACTAAGGTGAGTATATGCCGTGCTTCAGTCTTCTGATTAACCTGAAAAAAACACTGAAAAGTTAAAAATAAAGTGTTTTTTCATTATCATTCTAAAGTTAGTGTTTTGCTTTCTTAAATTATCTAAAAAAAAAAGATTCATTTTTGTTTTACCTTTTTTCAGTAGACACTAAATTTTATTACAGATTAAATCCTTAATGCTGTCTTTCATCTTTCACATCAACATTTCACATCAACAAATCAAGAGCTAATTTTAAACTTAAAACAATTTTTAAAAAATTACTGAAACAACCATGTCATTTATTCTTCAGATATGCAATCTTCTCCAACAAAACTACCAAAATTTTAACATTCTGTAACATGTCATTATTTCCTTATCTAGAATGTGAGCTGCTTACAGATAAAATATATCTATGAGTCTCAGTTTGAATATCAACTATAAATACAAGATTCAGACATGTGAATAAGGTTTCAGAACCAATCAGATGTGCATGAGAGCAAATTTTAACCAAAACTCTTGTAATCTCTAAGAGTTTGTGGTTTTTGTTTTTTTAATTCTCTTAAAGGACTTTAAGGCCTATAAAAGTATTGATTTCTTTTCCAAAGTAAATCTCAGAAGAGCCCCTAGAGAACAGGGCAGAGTAATGCAATCTAGCATGTGACACCCCCAATGGTGCTGAAGGATAAGCAAAAAACTGGCCAGTTAGAGGGGCACTGCAGCTGCACAAACTTAACACCTGTTCTGTCTCCTGGCCCCCGCCTTTCAGAACAAACCACTCTAGTGCCACCCAAAGACATTTAAATATGCAGTAGAATGTTGCCTAAACCTATATATATCATGTGGCACATACCTGTACCTAATTTAATCTTTGTTAATTCAGAAGACACCTCAGAATTGCTTAAAAATTCTGCTTCAAGGTAGTTTATTAAACACCAATTCTTGTGATATTAAAAATACATGTATCTTAAAAAGAAGTAATGCCAAAATATCACCACAAAATACAATAAATCTCAATTCTCTTATTTTAGCAAAATCGCTTTGTAAAAACACATAAAAATAAACCCAAATCCCAAAATATTTTCAAGAGAAAAAGATTAAAAATAAAATTACTGAGAATGTAAACAGAAAGAAAATATGTAAAGAAGATAATATTCTTTTCCTTTTTTTCTCTTTGCTTCATCCTGGTAATATGTCCAACCCAATGACATTTCAAAATAGAGACAGAGCTCTTTAAAACACATGCTGTTTGGAAATGTTGATGGCAACATATGTACAAGTGTGCCTAATAAAATTGAATGATGGATTCAATTGCAAAAGCATTTGCAAGAGCCCCCAATAAATTTTAAAAAATAAATAAAATAAAAACATGTTGAAGTCATCTCACCTTACAAACCTAGAACTGAAAAACTTCCAGTTGTTGTTTATAAGCCTTAAACCAGAGTATTTCTGGATTTACTAGAATTACTGTAAATAGTCCTTTTCCTCAATAACTTTTACTTATTAAATGGCTGAATTTGAGAACCATCTTTGGATACAATGTTTCATTACTTACTGGTTCCTCTTTAACAACCAGGCAAAGATCACCATCACTGCTCCGTGTACCAAATCCATTCAGTGAGGACCCAACCAAAAAAAGCCTGCTTTCTAAAGAACAGAGGAGAATTATACAGTATTAACTAAATTTAAAATAGTGATATATAAAAATAAGAGACAGACACAATAAGGAAACATACGTGGAAATAACAGCTGGATTTCTCTCTGCAGCAGAGTTCGACAAAGTTCTTTCTTCTTTAGATCACTTACTTGCTGCTGACAAGCTTCAAATAACTCCAGTATCTGCTGGCTCAACTAGAACACACCACAAAAATAAAAAACTTTTGTAACTTTGCAGAAATTCCAAAGTAATTACCCTATCAAGTACAAATACTACCAAAAGAATTTAGAAAATAAATATTATCTCCCTTAATACTGTGCAATATAAAACTATTACTCAAGTACAGTTGCGGAAAAGTTGAAAAAATACATTATAAACTTTACAAAGTAAAATATTACTAGTAACAGAAAAGTCATTCAGCCGCTAAGTGTTTTTCATACGGCGAGCACAGCAGAACTGTGTTATTCTTTCAGTGTTATAAAAACAAGTAAACAGAAATGTGTGGCAGAAAACATGTGAGTGGCAATGTCTAAAATATTTACTACCCAGCCCTATATAGAAAGTTGGTCCAACCTCGGTATTCAGATTAATGACTGCAAAATACAAAAAACTTTTAAAACCTTGGTCTCCTACTGAACTCATGCAAATAACGTGCCTCCCTCCCCGAACAGTACAATATTGTCCTGAACTTGTGCCTCATTGCCATTCACCGATCTCCCTGTTTATCTACTGATAAGATTCCCTTCTAATCCAATTCCTGTCGTCACCATAGGTGATTTCCTTATCTACAATAAGATATCTAACACAACAACATGCTTCCATCAGAACCAAGGGGAGTAACTTCCTTCCTTACCAGTCTGTGCTCTAGAATGCATCCCCTGAACCACTTTCATATCTTGCTTCAGCAACTCAATCCTGTCAGTCCACAACCCAGTCCTCTAATACCCTAAAAACCTAACCAACAGAGCCAAACAGCCACTTTCTATCTATTCTTACAACTAGCTTCCAAGAGATGCGATTTCTAAAAAAAAAAAAAAAAAGAGGGGGAGCACAATATTGGAGTCCCTCAAATTTATAGTGCAAGGTCAGCCCTTAGCATCATTCAGCAATTAGTCCGGTGTCTCTATTAAGATAGTGCTCCCATATTTCATTGTCATCATTCCAAAATCTTTACTACTTTCTTCAAGTCTACCATACTTCTTTATGTTCTCCAACAGATAACCTCACATTAAAGTGTCCTAACAAAATTGAGGATAGCAGAGGTGACATTCCTCAGCTTCCTGACACTAGGTCTACAAAGTAATACAGCTGAACAAAATCTCATCTCTTCTGTCAGAAAAGCTGTTCTTTCACTCTGTACAAAGCTATCTAGCCATTCTTTTGTAACCAAACCTGGTCTTCTCAAGGGAAAAATCCCCAACAGGTTTTTATTTATCCCTGTATTTTCAAGCTCTCTAGTTCTTCTCCATAGTTCATGATCACACACAACTCTTATCCAAAGTTTTAAAAGTTTTCTTTTATCGTTTAGAATACAAATTTTAAGAGGAAAAGGCATTAGGCAATTTGCCAAAGAGACATTTTTGAAATATCAATGAATACCCCCTTCAAAAACAAAAAAATACAAAAAGTTTAACTAGGGGAATAAAACAAACTAGTCAGATCAAGTTAATTCACAGCCAACAAATATAACACAATTAAATGGCTGTGTCTCTCCATAAGCCCCAATATATGAGGAAGTGAGCATAAACATCAATAGCAGCAAGGTCGCATACTATCAGAAGCACTATAAGGGAAAAAAGTAAAACAAAGAAGTTTGGAAATCATATTGCCTATGGGTACTAAATCTCCACAAATTACATGTGCAAAAGCAAGCAAAATTTGAAGGGGCTGTCATCAACACCTGTCCCTGTAAAGTAGGTCCCTGTGTAAAAGATCCTACAAAACACTTTTTTAGGAGAGGATAGCAGGACTTGGTCATATTCTACAAAATAGGAGCATGTTACGCTTCTGTCTAAATATAAGTGCTATCTACAAACTACAAACACAAATTAGCATGGATTTTCAAAACAGGTGAAATACAATTAAATATGATCCAGAAAATGGATCATTAGCTCATCATCATTTCAACATAAACTGGCAATTCCTCAGCTCTCTCACTGTCATAATCTTTGTAACACAAGAAACTGGTTAAAGAGCTGGTAAGAATTTATGGAGCCAAATAAAAACAGGAAACAGAATTTTAAATTTTAAATTCATTCCTAATGTTGAATTTCCTTTTTCTTCAAACTAATCAATACTATAATAAAAAAATCAGAAAAATGCTATAGTCAAAACAACCCCACTCCCCCCTTATTAGCCCATTTTATTTTTGCAAATGAATATAATGTAGAGGAATCTTAATTTATAAATTCACATATTGAGAAGGCATTTTGATTTATTGATTTTTTTTTTCTTTTAACTCCAGTTGCTTTTATACTGTTTTATTAAGTGAACGTGACATGGCCTACTAAGGAGGAGGGCAATTAAACAAAAAAAAAAACTCCCTGTGAGTCCCTTTGTTCTGAATCCTAGTCTAGGTCTACATAAATTTACATCTTGGTGGCTTTCAAACTCTTTCATAAATACATTACATGCTGTAACACTATATAAAGATATACATAAAAGATATGAAATATATATATTACGTATACATAAGATATATACAGAAAAATTAAGATGGAGTATTTTGTTCATCATATATGAGTAATTTATATATAGTAAATAAACTAATTGAAATATACATAAATGAAAAGATTTATACTAAAATATAGGTCCAAATGCATTGCATTGTAACTCAAAGATGTAACTCATGGACTACCTATTTTATTTCAACACCCAAGACAAAGAAAATCTCAGCTAAATCTCATCTCAACTCAAAATTCAAAATCAATGAAGTCAATTCATACAATAATTTCAACTAACCAGAATTTCCAATAAGCAACTTATATAATAGATGAAATTCAAGAGCTCTGGGAGGGCAGTTCTGGTTCTTCTGCCATCTCTTTTGTGTCAGTATCATGCGCTTAACGGACTGCACCACTGGAGCTCCCTACTGTCTCTTTTGTACAAAATAAATACACATGATGGGCTTTCACAAAGTTTAGGGGAAAATTCCATTTTCTTTCAGTTCATTTTTCCACAAACTTTTTAAATTCTCCTCATATATTTACATAAAAGCTAGTATAAAATACGTTAAAAATTTAAGAAGTAGTTCAGATTTCTATTTAAACTTTTGTTTATTAATGTAGCAACACCGTTAAAAACAAATGATGAAATTTAAAATGGAAAAAATCTAAACTCTGAGGATACTCATTTTCAAAAGTGCAATTTTTTAGGTTACTAAACAGAAAAGAGATCTTCAGAATAGTTGAGAAAACATCTACTAACAAAGTTTCCCCTGGAGTAAAGATGATTCAGCTATTATTAAAATTAACTCATCATTACCAATCTTGAGTTCTTTATACTACTTAGCAAATACTGCTTCAAACCTTCTCCATCCTGGTTCCTCTAGCGATTTTTCGCCCTCTATAAATGCTATTTCAAACCTTTTCCAGTACTTCCGCATCACTTGCATCCCACTTCATCTCAACAGATGACTATCCGTGCTTATTAATGCAGTGCAAAACAGAAAGAAGTCATTAAAACATGGGAACTCCACTAGCATCTCCCTACCAAATCTAACCCTCTCCTATACCTACACACCTCTGAGCCTCTCACCTACGGCCAATCACTCTACTCCTACATAGGATAGGATCCATTCCCTTTCCACAGCAATGGAGCCTTATTAATGTTTATTCTTTCTCTCCTGAATGATCAATCTCTATTGGCTTGTTTCCATAAACATTTATACGTTGAAGTTTATCCCATAGTTAAAAGGGGGAAAAAAGTAATCAGAACAATCGAAACCTCCTTTATGCTAACTTCCTACTTTTAGTTCTTTTCTTTCACATTCAAACTTTCCTAATGTTTCCCACTCCTCAAGTTATTTCTATCAATCTTAGGCCCAAACTCTTTTCTCTATGAAGTCATATCACACCCATACTCTTGGCTTAACTTACCATCTACATGCCAATAATTATTCAAATGTACATTTCTGACCAGTATCTTTACTCTAAATTCCAAAGTCATATATTCAACTGCCAACTGAAGTATCAGTTTTGGTATTTCAAAAGCACCTTAGAGGCAACATGTCAACAGAACTCAGTAAGTCCTTTCTTACCCTCTCATTACTATTTAAGTACACAGATATCACCTTCTCTCTTTCATTTTGATCAATCTCAGTGAATTATACCACCCTGCATATAAATGTAGAAGCCAAAATCTTGAGATTAGTAACCATAAAGTATCTTCTTTTCAATACAATCCCAAGACTCTCAACCAAAGACACACACACACACACACACACACACACACACACAAAGCAATGCTTGTAGCTACTATTTGTCACAACTAAGAAAGGATTAATAATGACATCTACTATGCAGAAGGCAAAGATTCAAAGGAAGCACAGTACAGCCCCTCTATACCAAAGAACTACTTGGCATCTAGCTCTAAGTATCAATCATACACCTCTCAAATAATACTCTAGTTCATTAATTTCTCTCTCTCCTACTATTACTCCCTACTTCAAAGTAACTAACCTTTCAAATACTACCTCAACTACATGAATTCCCAACATGCACACTTGTTCACAGAGCATTCAAAATAATCTTAGCTCCTATCCCTTCCCTGCTTTAAAAAAAAAAAAAAAAAAGCCTATCAAGTTACTACTGTGCTCGGCTAAAGAACAAAATACTTACAAAGTCCTGAATGATCTCTCCTGCTCCCCACTTCTCCAACCATATCTTCAACCATCCTCTCCTGACTTACCAAGCTTTAGCTACCTCGACCTCCTTTTTGTTCTTTGCACATCCAATGATCCTTTCTACATTAGAACGTCTATATAAGCCTCAAGCAATCACCCTCTCCTATGTTCTTGAATCGTTAGCGCATACTTAGCCTTCATATCTACAATTCAAACATTTCATCCTTTAGGCCTTTCTTGAGCTCCCAAATACATCTTCTCATCACTCTATAATTTTCCTTCTAGTACTTATATTTAAATAAAACTGTGATTTGCATGGTTTTTCAATGGTTCTTGCTCTTATTATATTGT